ATTCTTGTTGTATGGGGAACAAAAACTGATAGAATAATATATAAATCATTAGTTTTGTAAATAAATTTGAAAATAATAAGAATTTTTTTTTTAAGTTACAGAAAATAAACTATATTAGATTCATTGTATATTCTACATAGCTCATGTGTTGAGGAAGTCGTCTCGCAGTCACATATCCCCTGTTGGTAGACGCATTGGTCTTCAAATGCAATAATGTATCTTCAATCTCAAGATATGTTGTTTTAGAACATGATTTATGATTTAGAGACCAAATGTTTCAACAAACATATCTTATTTTCATATTTTTAATGTGTATGTATTGTAAGGCACACGCTTTCTTATGTTATGTAAATTATCCCTAGACTTTCTTGTCTTTATTTGTTTTAAACATAAAAGGCTTGAGTATTGTAGTCAAATATAAATCCAAATCTATATTTTATATTTATTACGTATAAAACTAGAAACAAATTAACGTATATATACAATTATAAAATTTAATTACACCACCTATATGTTAATAAAAATAACTAGTTTAAGTAAGCCACAGCTCCCAGATAAGTAGTAGAACTTTTCTTGTCTTCTTGGAAAGAAAAAATAATCAAGAAGAAAATGTCATTTATTTGATTTTGCTAGTGTACACTTGACATTTCTTTTGCAATTCCTTGTATCTTTCATAAATCAATTAAATTTATTAGTTTTTTCCCATAAGCTTGATCTATTCAACTTCAAAGTGTACGGCAAAATTGAGTCTATATAAAAGGAGCACTAAAATTAATAATTTTTCTATCGCTTGAGTTTCAAAAAGAAGAACAATCAAAAGAAATAATGGCCGGTGATGTAACATCAGCTAATACTATTATTATACTACACGGTCGTGATAATAATCGTGGTGTTAGGTCCGTTATATTGTTCCTTATAGTATTCGGTTGTGTCGTCGGTCCAATTGTGGTGGTTCTGATCATATGGTTTCTATGGTTTCTTTACAACCGCATGAAGAAGAAAATGCCAGCTTCGACCGCAATCAAGAGACTTGGAAAACGCTAAAAGTGGCGGTACAAACGATGGCGGTCTGGTTGCTAACATGCGGCTGCAACCACCAAAACTTCA